ACTGGAAAGCCGCCCCTCAGACCAGCTGGGACCTGGGAGCCAGGGGCCTGAGTGGACAGCCCCAGCTCCGGCCGCGCCTTCCTGGCTGAAGTGAAGCCAATGCGTTGCCGCGGAGGAAGCTAGCCAAGGAGCTGAATGGTGGTGCTGCCTGGTCCTTGACCGCTCTGCTACCTGCCCCATTCAGTGTCCTCAATGTCCCTTAAGAAGGTGAGAGCCTGGGGTAATGGTGGGGGTGGGAAAGAAGTTTTGACGGTTGGGAAGGAGCTCTCCTTGCTTGGGAGAAAGACCTGGCCTCCACCCCATTCTCCCACCTTAGTGTTGACCTTGAGGCCAGCCATTTCTCTCTCTGAGCCTCTGTCCCTCCTAGGGCTATTGTGAAAATTATTCACTTAATCCATCAACATTTAAGGGGGTTTATCTTTCCTTGCACAAGACAGACAAAGTCCCTGCCTTCATGGAGGCTGCATTCTAGCGGGAGAGAAGGGAAGTAAATAGAAAAATCAATGTATATTATAATGTCAGGAAATGACAACTGCTGGGAAGAAAAATAAAATAGGACAGAGAGTGACAATGACAAGGGTTGGTGGGTTTTTGCTTTTGCTTTAGATATAATGGTTTAAAAAAAGCAGGGGGCCAGGTGCATTGGCTCACGTCTGTAATTCCAACATGTTGGGAGGCCAAGGAGGGAGGATCGCTTGAGGCCATGAGTTCAAGATCAGCCCGAGCAATATAATGAGACTTCATCTCTACTAAAATTCAAAAAATTAGCCGGGCATGGTGGCATGTGCCTGTAGTTCTAGCTACACAGACTGAGGTGGAAGAATAGCCTGAGTCCAGGAGGTTGAGGCTGCAGCGAGCCATGATTGCACCGCTGCACTCTAGCCTGGGTGACAGAGCTGTCAAAAGAAAAAAAAAAAAAGGCTTTCCAAGGAAATGACCTTTGAGCAGAGACTTGAAGGAAGTGAGAGAGCTAACCATGCATGTGTCTGGAGGGACAGCAAAAGAGGGTCACAGGGCGCCGGGGAGAGAATGCAGGCTATCGGACAGAAGACAGTCTCACTTTGAGACTGTGCTTGGCCACCTCCTGGTTGTGTGATCTTCGGCATGTCACTTTACTTCTCTGAGCCTCAGTTTCCCTAATAGAAAAATGGATGATGTCTATGACTCATCATGTTGCTGTGAGGATGGATGAGAAAGTGGATGGGAAGCCCTAGGGGATCCAATGGCCAGGAGGCTAGAGATGCCCATCGCGGTGCTTGATACCCTCCATGCTTGAGAACCCCAAAGCCTGGCCAAGACCTCAGGTACAGAAGGCAGGAAATGTGGATGGAAGTGGGCAGCAGGAACTCTTGCCCTTTACAGCTCAGGTTCTGTGAGCAGCACTCCCCCAATACACGCGCACACAGCTACTCCACTTCTGACGCTCCTCTACCCTGGGCCTAGGGTGTTCGGGATGTTCCGCCAAGCCAGTGACCGCGAAGCTGTCTACGCCTGCTTCACCTTCTCCCACTGGCTGGTGTATGCCAACAGTGCTGCCAACCCCATCATCTACAACTTCCTCAGTGGTGAGCAGGCTGGGGATGCAAACTCACTGAGGGTGGCCAACAGTCCACATGACAAGTCTCCCCATCCCCAAGCCAGGGCCCAAATAAAGGACGGTGGGTGAGGATGTATCTGCTGTGGGCACAGTGATCCTGCTCTGGGAGGACCCACCCCGAGGAGCCCTGTCCTGAGTGGGAGACGGGCCACACTCCCCACGGTGGCTGGCACCCAGGATCCAGTTGTGCAGATTCTGCAGACCAGTGAGTGAGTGGAAGGGCAGGGGCTAGGTCAGTTCACCCCCCACTCCCACCACGGGTGCAGGCACACAGCAAGACCTCCAATCAGCACAGGCAGAGTCCACCCTCCCCAGAGGGAGTCAGACCTGTGGGAGGAGGGCCCTGGAGCCCCTGCCTGAGGAAGGATTGCACAGTCCAGGTGTCAGGGCTAAAGGAGGGTCAATGGCAGATAGGCCAGGCCCAGGAAAGGGCTTCCCCCGCTCAGCTAGACACACTGGCAGAGCGACCAGAATCTCAGGGGTTGTCCCCTCTGGAAGTCTTCCTCCCCTGCCGCTCCCACTCCCACTCCAGGTCTCTCCTCTCTGCTGTCCCAGTGCCCACTCCCTCCCTCTACCTCCCAGTCTCAGGGTGGTAATGGCCCTGAGGCTGAGCTCAGCAGAAGTGTGACTCACCAGCCCTCTGACTTTGGGACTAGACTTCTAAAGAACAGGTCCAGATGACTGTTCAAGCCTGGACAGAAATAATCTTTGAGGAACTATTAAAAGGTTAAAGAAGGGATCCGGAGTCAATAGTATAACCCTCATTGAGACTCAAGAATTACTCAACAAGGCTGGCTGCGGGTTTCCAGCTCAGAAAAGAGAACAGAAGATGAGCTCTGTGGGGAGGGGAGGGCAGACAGACTTACTGATACATATGTCTTTGTTTGGCCTATGTTTACTGAGCACCTACTGTGTGCCTGGCCCTGTGCTGGGTACCAGAGAGGCTGGCAGGCTAATGACACATGATCAAAGGGGCTTCAGCCTGACAAAATCTGTTTCCGTGGTATACTTGGGCTGAACAAGGTGGTGTGGCGGTCCCTCCTTCCCTCCTCCCCCTTGAGAAGGGCTTTGGAATTAAAATTGGGTTCAGCTTCTGGCTGGGTGGCCTTGGGCAAGCCACTGTACCTATGTACATCTCATCTGTGAAGTGAGGATAAAGGACTCCAGTCTTTCAGGGTGCTGGGATGCTCTGGGGAACAGAGGCTGAGGCGCCCGGCACAGCGTGACTGCCAAATGCAAAAGGGCTGCTGCCACTGTCATTTTCATCATCAAAGGGCAGAGAGGGCACAAGCCTAGCAACAGATAGTGACCCCCATGTACACACCAAGGAGAGCAGAGGTGACCTGAAGCCCCTGAGCCAGACACCACGTTTTGAGCCAGCCTCTGAGCCAGAGCGCAGTCAAGGAATCAGATGGCAACTGCGTCTCTCCTTGGGAACCCGCTCCAGGGCCTCTGTCTTCTCTCCCTGGCGGTGCTGAGGTTGCCTCAGGGCTCTCCCTCCCAGCTCTATCCCTCCCTCCCTCCCCGCCTCCTCACAGGCAGCTTGGCTGGAGCTGCGTGGGTGTCCCTGGGCTCAAGGCCCCTTCCTGCTGCATCTGTCTCCTTATGGCTGTGTCTTTTGTCTCCCAACCAAGGCAAATTCCGGGAGCAGTTTAAGGCTGCCTTCTCCTGCTGCCTGCCTGGCCCGGGTCCCTGCGGCTCTCTGAAGGCCCCTAGTCCCCGCTCCTCTGCCAGCCACAAGTCCTTGTCCTTGCAGAGCCGATGCTCCGTCTCCAAACTCTCTGAGCATGTGGTGCTCACCAGCGTCACCACAGTGCTGCCCTGAGCGAGGGCTGCCCTGGAGGCTCCAGCTCGGGGGATCTGCCCCTACCCCTCATGGAAAGACAGCTGGATGTGGTAAAAGGCTGGGGCTTCAGTCCTGGGTTTCTGCCTGTGTGACTCTGGATAAGTCACTTGCCCTCTCTGAGCTTGTGTCCCCTAAGCAGGGTTGATGTGAGGATTAAGCATGCTGAAGCAAGTGGAAAGCTCCCTGTAAACTGTGAAGTGTTATGGACACGATTATTGTTGTACTTCTCTCATTTGGCCATACCCCACAGTATAATCTGTCCCCATCATCCTTCCAGAGCTTGGCCATCCTCCTAAAGACCGCTTTCCTACCCAATTACCGGCCTTCCCTAGAGTCTGCCCTAAAGGTCCCAACAGGCATTTCCATCTGGTTCTGTGGCTCCCTGAAGCCCAGGGCTGCGCTTGGCCAGCTCTTCTGATGCCTGTGTGAACTAATCTGGGCCCAGCCTTTCTCCAGTGGGCCACGAGCGCAGCCCCACCCTAACCAGGTGCCAAGGGCACACACCACAGACCTGACCTTGTTGGCTTTGTGGTGTGATAAAACACTCTCCATGGCCACTTGGCACAGAGGCCAGCAGCCCGAAGCAACTGTAATTAAAGCCTGGCACTGAATGTTCCCTTTCCTTGTCATTGCACGAAATCTGTGCTGCTGAGGTTAGGAGCAGAAGAAGGTGGGGAAGCTAGGGGGAGGGAAGACAAGAAGGCACTAGAATGCTCTTATCTGCTGACCTCCCACCCCCACCACACGGGATCCAAGATGGACTCAGCCAGGCCTCGGCACACGTGGTGCTGCCTCCTCATGCGGTGCCAATTCTGTGACGCCAGAACCTCGCCCCTCAACACAACTGTCTGCTCACAGGCCCAATGGCCTGGGGAAGGTAAGGGGGGCCGGGTGGGCAGACAGCGGGTTAATGGGCTGATTTACTGTTATCCTCATCTTCTTGGAAACCAAGGCTTGCGTCTATTTTCTATGAACTCACAGGATAGAAAGAGAAAGCCACAGACTTGGCCAGACATGCTCCGTCTGCCACCGAGATGATTTTAAGGCTGCCAAAGGCTCTGAGCCTTGTTGCCAGAGCAGGACGTGGAGTGCAGTCTGAAGTGCTACTCTGCTGAGAGGAACAAGGACATCTGGCAGGGGCCAGCTCTGCTATGCACACCACCAGGTCTGCTTAACTTGATTAATGGAGCTGTGGGCTCCCTCTGACCTCAACCGTCAAGAAGGTGGGCAGAGCCTTGGTGCTGCCAGGGGCCCGGCCCAGGAGTGTTGAAGCACTGCTCATCCTAGGTACCCCGCTTTACCCAGAGCAGGTGGAATGTGTGGCCTAAGTATGCCACCTGCTCTCCACACGACTTACCAGCCCAGCTCTCTGTGGACGGCGCAGAGCTCCAGCTGCTGCCACGATGGGTTCTCCTGCCCATTCCACACTCCCACTGGGCCATAGGATCCAAAGCGGTTGGCACAGTGCGTAGGCAGGCTTGGAGGTGAGTGTGCAGGATGAGGTGTGACAGCTGGCCCCCAAGCTCAGAACCAACCAACCATGCTCATAAGATCAATCCAGGTCTTGGGCTCCTCAGCCTCAGCTGAGCACAAAGGTGAGAGACTACAATTGGCACCATCGGGTTTCAGCAGACACTTGGTTCAGTGGGAACAAAGAAACAACAGGCGCTGCTCCTAATGGCTGCAGTTCTACTCCACGCTCTGCTGGCTGAACCCAGCACCATGGGGGGCCTCAGCCCTCCACTCTGGGGGACTCAGATAAACTGAAGAAAATTCAGGGGAGGTGAACAGGATGCCGAGGGGAGAGATGCTCAGCGAGGGACTGCTCAAGAGCCCGGGGCTATCTGGCCTAGGGAAGGGAGGACTTGGGGAAAATGTGGTATATAGGGCAGGCTCCACTATGTAGAGGGTTGGCATGCAGAAAGGGTGATGTATGTCCTGAATGGCCCACAGAGAAAACCACAGCCAATGGTGGTATCTTCAAGATGGCAGGATTTAGAATCCACACCAGGAAGATGTTCTGCCAGTCATGGAGGAAATGGGCTGCCTGGAAAGGCACTGGGTTCTTTGCCTTTGGCGAAGCAGAGGCCAGACTCACATGGGGCCTATGAAGGGAATTATAGCTCTGGATAGGGGCTGGCCTCTGGAAACCGGATTCCATCTAATGCTGGGATTCTAGCACTACAGCAGCCCAGAGGAGAATGCAGCTGACCTGGCTAAGCCCGACACACTGCTGGGCCTCACTGACCTGCAAAACAGTCATAGTTACTTCCAACTACCCACTGCAGGGAGGAGAGCCCTGCACAGGGCCTCAGAGCTCTTTATCTCAAAAAGCCAAAAGATAATCACCATTACCCAGAATAAAGCCCCCTGGCAAACTAGAATGTCTGGTGTCTTTGGCTTTTGATTGAAATGTGGTCAGCTCATTACAGACACTCGGTGTAGACTGGGTATTATGCTGATCTAAAGATCTGACTTGCAAGTACAGATGTCTGTGCTTAATAAAAATGGGGGGAAAGTTATGACTTAATAAATGGAGTTTGTCTGGAAGATAAAACTAGGGCCTGAGAAAATAGAAAGGCCAGGCTATGAAGTTTGAGGTAGCTGCTTTCAACCCAGAATGCCTGCCCTAAAACTGCTATGAAATAGCTTCCTGAATAGACCTTCAGGCCATACTGAACTGAACCCGGCAGGGCCCCCAGCTGGCTACCCTACACTTCACTTCCCTCTGGCAGTGGATAGGAGCCCCACATAGGCCATGTCCCCACAAGCTGCTGCTTTCCGCATGGCTGGTGTATAGGATGTACTTACATAGTCAGTGAAAGAAGGAGTGGATGGACCTGTAGCTGAGAAATCACGGTGGAAAACATGGAACCCCAGAGTTTCATCCTTTTATTGAAGCTTACAATTTCACTGGACTTTTGGCCCCAAATGAAAAAAAATGCAAATTAAAAAAAGTATTGGCAGAGAGAGGTGCCCACTGTCCCCTGGAGACTGAAGCCGAGCAGGGCATGGCAGGCAAGTGAGGGGTCCCAGCCGCGGAGGCAGAGCCTGGCCAGAGGGGCCCAGGGAGCAGATTTGTCTGAGCAGGGCCAGCCCCAGGCAGTTAGAAGTTAACACACAAGGATTTATGGGTGTGGCGGAATCCAAGCCACTGGTCCCATGGGCAGATCTCTCTCATGCTTGGTCAGATTCCACTTTGGAGAAAATGGGCTCGTGTGACAGGATGGCCTGGTGAGGGAACACAGGTAGTAACGATAATGGGCCAATGAACACTCACCACTGGCATCAGGGTGGAGCTCAGCTGACGGGACACTAACTCCATTACAAGAACCTGCTCCTGGTGCCAGGCTGTGCCACTCAACTGCTCATGGCCATCAGGACATTCAACTTCCATCCTCTCCTCCATCAGGCCCCTATCTGTGTGGCCTTAGCCCCGGTCCTCACTATTTGGTGGCTATGATGCAGGACTCTCAACCCTCTTTTGGAACAGTGTTGCATCAAGCAAGGGAGAATGTTCTTCTAAAGGGACAGGAAAAGAAGAGATGTCCACGTACTTCTCTCACTCTAAGAAGCCAGGAAAGGTCCCTGGTGCACTCCACTCTCCACAGATGGGTTGGGTCATAGCATCCGAGAAGCTGTCATGGTGACGAAGTCCTCGAAGCTGAGCCGAATGTTGCCTTGTACAGCTGTGTCCTTCTCCCGGAAGGCCTCTGTCAGCACCTGCAGCTGGGTGCACACCTGGATGAAGCGGTCCAGCTGCATGGCAGGATTGGCAGAGCGTGGGCAGTAGCGGGAGACCAGAAGCTGGGTGAACTGGGGGCTCAGGTTGTAGCCCATTTGGGACAGAGCTGGAGAAGAGGGGCACACAGACCAGACACACAAAAACCTGCCATGAGCACCTCCATCAATCAGCAATACTGGATCACAGCAGTTCAAGGAACTTCGAGAGGACGGGCACAGAAGCATAAAGAGGGCAGAGAAATCCCAAGGGTCTAAGATATCAGGAACACAACAGGGGCCCTGTCTGGATGCTACCCTTAGGTGGAAGGCCCTCATCCCTCTTTCTCCCAGTCTCCATTATTGTCTCTTCAACTGAGGCTCATGGGATTCCAGAGATGACAACGGACTATCCACAATCATCTCTGACTCACTTGCATTCCAAAAGGAAGCCTGAGCTCCCAGGACCCCTGCTTGGGGCAGACATCAGAGGCAGCACAGCAGAGGTATGAGGACCCGCTCTGGAGTCAGCCCCTGGGCAAGTTGCTTAGCCTCACTATCCCTATCTTATCATCTCTAAAATGGGGATAATACTTAACTTGTAGGTTCTAGCAAGGATTAAAATGGGTGATCATGTAAAGCTACTTAGCACAGTGACTGGCACATAAAAAGCACTCAGTAAGTGCTATTTTAATAAAGTCACCGCCACTCCAAGGTCTCTTGGAGCATCCTGTCTCTTCACTGGGATGCTTGCTTCCTTCCTTCCTCTGTTCATAACTTACCAGGCCAGGCTAAAACCTCAACTCTCCATTTGTTATGCAGGCCCTTAGGCAGGTTACCCACACTAAACCTCAGTTTTCTCACCTGTAAAAGGGAGATAACAAGGGATTCTTAATTGAAGGGTGTGGAATTATAAATAGTACCTAGCACATGGGAAGAATGAATCACATAAGCCTATTAAAAATAGCAAGCATTCAGTAAATATCTGTTTTGCTGTGGTTACTATCACCCTTACTAATATCCATGGCAAAAGCTGGCAAGAGTAGGTCATTACTATAGGCCATCTCCCCTCCCTTCTGCTGGTGGCAGATGTGGTGCACTCACTCCTGCCCACAGACCTCCTTAGTCTGAATGAAATCCACAGCCTGGGCAAAGGACTAGACTCTCTGGGGAGCCCTTTCTCCCTCCTGGGTGGCAAAGCTCCCTCTTGGGTCCTCCCCCCCCACCTCTTACTAACCTGCCTGAGCCCAAACTGTGGCCTCCTGCCTTACAGAGTCAGTTTGGAACCAGACCTGGGGCTGTGGCCTCAGGTCATCTTCCCCAACTGCAACTTTTAGAGTGCTCGGGGTCCCAAAGTTGGGAGAGAAACTGCCCACTAGCTGGGGTGGCAACAGACCCATCTTTCTGAGCCCTGTTCAGGGCTCTTTCCATTCTACATGCTAGAAACTGGAGAGGAAGGAGTCACCTCAG